TTACTGAATCAACATTAATAGTCAGGTGGCCATCAACGATTAGCACCATTAGCAGAATCCCACAGAAACATCTGTGATTATCTGCGAGTCTGATAATCTGCGCCAAATTCCAGCCCACGAGATACTACAATTAAGCCCTTGAGTGAATCGTGGAAACTGCATAGTCATTAAAGTCATGACTAAAGCTACTTCCGACTTCCTGAAGTGAAGAGTACAAGAAGGCAGGGAATTATTTTAAAAAATAGCTCAAATCCCACGTAAAGGATGCGGAAAAAGTCGAAGTTCTAAAGGCCTTCAGAATGGGCCGAATGAGAGAACTAAAAGATGAACAACACCAACCGAGACAGTTGAAGTAAAGTCGAGTCAAGTTTATTAAGGGACATAAAGGCAAAAGCCTTTGAACTCCCTATCGGTACACAGTAATTAAGAAATGCATCGGCCAAGGCAAACATTTCAAAGGAGGTCGTTTACTTAATTTTGGGCGACCAGTCACTTCTTCCAAACAATATTATATAATCAGATGGGGTAATGTCAATATCCCAAGCCAGCAGGTGTAAATGAGCGAAAAGAGCATACAGGGAAAAAAACTCCGAAGGCATGGCACAGAATTCATAAAATGGAATGTAATTTGTGGTTTTTTACGAGGAAAACTGTCGCTCGTAGGAGAAAAGTATGTGAAACATAGGACCGGCATGCTGCTGTTTATTTTGGCGGCAAGCCAGGGGTCCATCGCGATTTATATCTTGATCGGAAGTACCATACGAGGGGGAGACTGCAGAGTCACCAGAACACCCCGAAAAACCGGAGCTACGACCACAATACTCCCTTGCCAATTTCCGAGGCCCTCATCAACGCGACGAAAACAGGAGAAGCCGCCACGATTGCAACTATCCGTTATTAGTTGACGTAAGTGAGCTGCATGTATATGGATGAATTAAGTGCATAGAATAATTTTATAATTAAATAGTACTGAAACGAAGCAAGTAATGCTACGAGGAATACAATATTTCCTTCGTCTGCATTAAGTCTAGACCGGTAAACTGGTGTTAGAGTGAGAATTACTATAGCAGTATGGCTTCTGCTTAAAGACTTCAACGGAAGCGGACACAACAGCATCCAGGGGCAGAGCATTCCAAGCTTCAACCACTCTATTACAAAAGAAGAAATTTCGTGCGTCTAGTCTGGACCTTGTTACACGTAGTTTGAATGGATGACCTCTTAAGTTCAAAGTTGTTGCTAACTCGAAGTAGTTGCAAGGTAGAGGACAGCCGTCCTGACCGCGCATTATACGAAATTTTTTGTCAGATCACCGTGTAGCTGCCTGTAACTTAAAAGAAAGAGGTCGAAAATAGCTAAACGTGGGTTGTGGGGTGATGAGCCCAGTCCGGTCACAAGTTTATTTGCACGCCTTTTAACTTTCTCGAGGGAAATGAGGTCTTTCGTGATCCAGGGTCTCAATGCTTGGATAGCGAACTCTAATTTCGGCCGCACAAAAGTTTCAAATACCTTAGCGTAGCAGCCTTTATTAAAGGCACAGAAAGCCCGCTTGACAAGGTACAGGACGGACATCGCAGACTAAGCTACTTTTGCGCAATGCAGCGAGGGCTTACGCAACGTCGTGATACACAATCCCAAATCTTTCTGCGCGTCCACTTCTTACAGTTCGATGCAATTCAGGCCATAAACCATGGGATTCTGAGAGCTGGGTTGGCCAACCTGTAGGATACTGCACTTGTTCTCATTAAACGGTAAGAGCCAGTCTTTAGACCAAGTTTGAAGACGGTTTAGGTTAACCTGTAAACGCTCTTCGTCGGCTCTACTTCTGATGACTTTCCAGAACCCTACAAGATCACAGTCGATATTTCCCCGCGCTCCTCCTAGGACAGTTCT